CATCATTTTAATAATGAACAGATTTGTTAAGAAACTAGCATGCACCATGTGTTGGGATCAAAATTAGAGAAAGTTTCATTTAAAAATCCCTTAACCAGGCTTAATAAAAAGGAAAGCTTTTTAAACTTTAAAAATTCACTCCAAACCAAGAGAACACAAAAATAAAATTAAAATGCAGAGTACGATTACCTCATTATCCCTTATTTCCTATGCTTCTCTATTGAAGTTGTTTTTTTTTTTTACATGAAATTGTTCATCAATCTATAAAAGTTATTTATGTCATTACTGAATCTTAACTTTATTCTAAGTGTTGTAATTATGATAAAACAAGATATTCATTATTCATAAAGAAATTGTTCATCTTCCTATATAAAATTATTAATTAGCTTATAAGAGTTGTTTGTGCCATTGCTAAGTATTAATTTTATTTTAAGTGTTATAATTATGATAAAATGAGTTGTACATTGCCCATATAGAAGTTGTTCCCTTCCTTTCATGAAGTTATTCATCTCCTTATATGAATTGTTTGTGTCGTTGCTAAATCTTAATTTTATTCTAACAATTGTAATTATAATAAAATGAGCTGTTCATTACCTACGCTAAAGTTGTTCGTTTCCCTATATAAAATTGTTCATAATTATAACAAATTATTGAGGAGATTTCTCCCTACATCCCTCAAATTTTTCTTGAAACTTCAGTTTCCAAGCAAAATGAAATACAGTTGCAGAAATATATTTTCAAAAGCGTATATAATCCCATTATTTGAACAAGTCAAGAAATTAAACACAAATAGAATGGTATAATAATAATAATAATAATATTGTGAAATTTCTATCAGGCGTTGAACTCCAAAGTCGTGACACTAAGAGATCTATATTCACTTGGCTTCATTTGCAATACATTAATACAACTTCCACTCTTATTGTGATTGCTGATAATGCTGGAGGTGGAGGTTTATTTTTTGAATTAGAACAACCTCATTAAATGAAAAGATTACATATTGCTTGAGATTACAAAACCTGGCGAACATGAGAAAGGAAAGAAAGCTTCAGAATTGCATGTAAAATAAAACACTCTTTCAAAGAGCAAAAGTAGGGAACAAATATCTTGCGTGACTGCAGCTCCACAAATTTCCTCTTTCTCAAAAAGCTTGGTCCTGAGAGAATTCCTCTTAAAGCCCGCTTATCCAATCGAAGCCAGCAGCCTTTGTCCATCTCTTGTGAGAGAGAGAGATCCAGTTAAGTGCTGCGCTCCAACAGCACAAGGGAAGTCGAATTTACGGCTCCACATAAACCTGGCTCAGGATAGATCCGAAGAATAGTTCCACAATACCGTATGATACAGTACCGTCGATTCGGACCAAAGAATTTCTTTTTTCTGAACCACAGAGTCCAGCCATGATGATACACGTGCAAATCAAGAGAAGAGTTCAAGAAATCGGAACTCACAGGGGGAAACAAAGGTTCTTCCTGAGCTGTGTGCCAAATTGCATCTCTACAATGAAGCCAAGCATTTAGTTCTCGTTTAGTTGCTAAAAAAAATGAATTAAAAAATTAATATAAAAATAAATTAATCATCCTTTTTTTTCATAATAAATATAATAAAACTCATTAATATATATTAAAAATATAAAAATAATCACACCTTTCAAAAATTTTATAAATTATAATTCTCATTTTTATAAATTAAATTACACATGTTCTTTATGAATTTGGTTCAGCATTTCTTTTGATCATATCAATTTTACCTTTATTTTTTAAAATTTTTTTTATTTTATATTTTTTTAGTAATCAAACGAGACTTTAGTTATGAAATAATTCATTCAAGAGCATTAAGACTAATGAAGTTGTAACTCAAAAGAGAAGAATACAAAAGCAGAAGCCCAAGTGTAAGGATAAGCCCAATAGATTATAAGAGATGGGCTCAATCCAATCCAAATGTACGTATTAAATATATATCTATTATTCTTTGATTTGTATACACGTGTATGCATCTTCTGTACTCTAGGGTTTGTACCCTAGCTATTTAAGCCTACAAACACCTTAGGCATTGTAGCAATCATTAGTATACAATTTATTACACAAAATTGATTTAGGAGTCAGATCGGAAGACTTATGGATAGCCTGATTCCTTTTCCACCAAATCAAATTAAGGTAAAAGTTGAGACCTTTAAAGTTGAATTTGAGAGTGCGTGATTTTAGTTTGATCTTTTAATAAAAAAGATCTAAGATGAGCTTATTTTTAAAAATGTAAACTGAATCATAGATGGATTTAGCCAAAAATCTTTATTCAAATTGTATAATGGTAGAAGAAGAAGATAGATGCTCATGTGAAGCTTTACGATTGAGAAGAAAAACTCTCTCTTCTTCTTCTTTTTAAAAAAACAAGCAAGCAGTTTTAGATGGTTAATGAAATTTGAAAGATGGTTAATTTTATCATTCCTCTCAACATTTTAATTTTATTTCACTACTCTTAATTTAAATTAAATGTATTTTTTATTAAAAAAAGGTGAGTTAAAGGGACGTCACTTGAATACAAGTAAAACAAGTACTCCGCCCTAATAAAATTTTACAAAAATATTATAAATTACTTATCAAGCTCGGCATTAAAACTGAAATTAACAGTCAGTATGAAGTATAATGGTGGCATTGCCAAATAAATTAAGCATGGCCAGCTTTGATCTAGGAAAAAAATAAAAATAAAACCCAAGCGCTCAGTAGTGAAGGACTATGATTCAAGCGACACGGATCATATGCAATGACAAACAGTGCAATGGCTGGGAAGTAACAAATCCTAACCATAAACTTTAATCTAACGGTTGATAAGAAAATGGTGTATAAAATGGTTCCTCATTTGCAACCACGTAATTACATTTTATCTAGAATAAAAGTTCATAAAAAATATAATATTTTAATAATTCTATTAATTATTAATTTGGACAATACAGATTTTACCTGAATTGTTTAGTTTAATATATTTTTTTTTATAAATTAACTATCCAGATATACTTTGGACAGTTTATAATTAATATTAAAATTTTGTATAATCCTTTTAATTTTTTATTTTGATAAATACATTTTAAAAATAAAGATAATATTTATATCACTTTTCAAAAAATATCTTTTTAAAAAAATTATAAGTTAAAATTTTAAATGTGAACTAAAATTAAATCTAAACCGTACAGAGTGCATTTGAATAATCAATTTATAAAAAATAAAAAATTTTATATTAAACTGGACCTTCTAAATAAAATCTATATTATCCAAATTAATAATTAACAGACTTATTAAAAATATTATATTTTTTTATAAATTTTTATTTTGAACAAAACGTAACAAGTGAGAAACTTTTTTATGTACTTATTCATCACCGGCCATTAGATAAAAGTTTACTATCAGGATTTGCTACTTCCCAAGCCACTGCGCCATTTGTCACTGCATATGATCCGTGTCCATGATTCAAGAGCTCAATTCGAGTCTCCATGTGAACTGATATTAATTAAGGGCTGAAACCGGGCATCGGTTAAATTGGCCTAGCCCGATACACCGAAATGGAATTCTCAATTGAAAAAATTGTTCAAGATATCTCCAAAGGCTCAGTATAATTTACAATTGTACGAGTGCAGCCGTACGGGTACCCATGTCCTTGGTGGGGGCCTGGGGGATGAGACGATGCATTTCGACGTCCCTTCAAATTCATTCATCCCCATGCCTACGCAAAAATAGTAGTCCGCAGTAATAATTTGTCCAAATTAAACTTGAATTTTATGAGGTATAACGCTCCGTGGCAAATCCTATTCTCTACTTCCCATGCACACATTAAGCATATATAAGATGGCCAACAAAAGTTAGTTGATTTTGCGTCTACTTAATTACATGCATGAGGAATCAGGTTTCTAATCACCAAATATCAATATACCAGATCAAGTTTCGAGATCGATCAATCTCTGGGTGAGACGTGCAGGAGTGTACTTTTATAAGTTCATATATAGTTAAAAAAATTAATTATTTGGTCCTTATAATTTTGACTCAATTATAATTTAATTTTTAATTTTAATTTATTATAATTCAGTACTTGAAGTTTTGACACGAATGTAATTTAGTCCCTAATTTTTTTCTCTTACAATTTAATCTCTAAAATTTCAACCTCTTAAATATTAATTTTTATATTTTAAAAAATAAAATTAAAAAGATTAAAAATATTTTAAAATTTATTACTAATATTTTAAATTATTAAACCCTTTTAATCTTTATAAATATTAAAAGTTTAAAATATTTTCAATCTTTATAATTTTATTTTTTAAAATATAGAGATCAATATTTAAGAAGTTAAATTTCAAGGATTAAATTGTAAAAGGCAAAGTTCAGGCATTGATTTGTAACCGAATCAAAATTTTAAGAATTGAGTCATAACGAGTCAAAATTGAAAAATTAAATTGCAACTGGATCAAAATTATGAGAACCAAATGATTAATTTTTTTAATATATTTTAAAGTTATTATCAGGAAATAACGAAAATGTATATAGATGCAGCTTAACTTTTTGTTAAATTCCAATCCACACAAAACAGACCTCATCTGCAAGAGGAAACCATACAAACAAGATTAATCATGAAAGACCGATATATATATATATATATATATTGGCAAAAAAAAAAAAAATCTTTACATTTACATGACCAATTTTTGATGATGTCAATGTTAGGCTAAAAATTGAGAGAAAAATTAGTAGAATACCGTACAGTCAGTTGGCGTTTAAAAAGGAAAGTGGTTAGTTCATTGACCGAATCAAACTCCAAGTTTAGGGGCTCTAAAGATGTCCAAAAGTTCGCCTACCCACCCTCAATCCCGATCTGAAATCTGAAATCTCATAATCATCCAACAAAGGAATACGTTATCTAACCAAACAGTAAACACACATTCTCTGTCGTTGACCTCTCTCTCGTGGTTTTTCTAAAAACATTGACCTCCTAACCTCCTCCTCTCCATCTTAAACAAACAAAATCCTCACCCCCCCCTGCCTATGAATTATTTTCCCTTCTGCTCTGTTCTCCCTCGGCCTTCTCCACTAGCCATCTGACCTTGTCTCCCTATTAATTCCTTCCCACATCAATTTTCTCTCGTCTCTGCATCAAACTCAGGAAGGAATTAATAGAGACAGGTCTAATTATAATTAAAATGAGGTTTAAGGCCACGTACCAGTTACCTCGGTGGAATTAATCATATCGTTCCATGCATGAAATGCAGTTTCCTTTCTTTAATTAGATACAGCTACTAGTTAGGTTCCATAACACACATACATTTTCAATGGCAGCAGAGTATTCTGAAAGCGATACCTTATCTAAGTCCCCATGGTCCTCTCATCTCACGGGCACATCTGCTGCCGCCTCTCCCTCTAGCACCGAAGACGAATCCGTCTCTACGGTTCTATTGGGTTCACTCGTCCGAGAAGAAGGACATATATACTCCTTGGCGGCGGCATGCGACGGCTTGCTGTTCACAGGGTCCGATAGCAGGAATATTCGGGTATGGAAGAACCAGAATGAGTATGCCGCGTTTAAATCCAACAGCGGCTTAGTCAAAGCGATTATTATTGCTGGAAGAGAAATTCTCACGGGTCATCAAGATGGACGCATCCGGGTTTGGAAAGTTTCCGGCAAGAATAACACCGTCTACAAGCGGGTCGCTACCTTGCCGACTCTCAGAAATTACATCAAATGTTCCATGAAGCCCAGGAATTACGTGGAGGGCAGACGAAACCGCAGTGTCCTCTGGATTAAACACCACGACGCCATCTCTTGCCTCGGCTTAACCAAAGACGCCTCTCTTATTTACTCCGCTTCATGGGATAAAACCTTCAAAGTCTGGAGAGCCTCCAATTTCAAATGCTTAGAATCCGTTACCGCTCACGACGACGCCGTTAACGCATTGGTGGTCGGAACCGATGGCTTGGTATTCACGGGTTCGGCTGACGGCACCGTTAAGGTCTGGCGCAGGGAGGTCCAAGGAAAAGGAACGAAGCATTTCTTCTCGCAGACATTGTTAAAGCAAGAGTGCGCCGTGACGGCACTGGCATTAAGCCCGGACTCTAGCTATCTATACTGCGGATCTTCCGACGGCATGGTTTGCTACTGGGAGCAGGGGAAACCTGAGTCGCATGGCGGCAATTTGAGAGGGCATAAGCTGGCGGTGCTATGCCTGGCGACGGTGGGGAAGCTGTTGATTAGCGGATCGGCGGATATGACGATATGTGTGTGGAAAAGGCTAGAGAACGGGGAACACAGATTAGTGTCGACACTGACAAGCCATACGGGACCGGTGAAGTGCCTATCCGTGGAGAAAGATCCGGAAGCAGCTATCGGAGAGCAACGATGGATATTGTATAGTGGGAGTCTGGACAAGTCGGTGAAGAAGTGGAAGGTGTCGGAGAAACTACCTGCCACCGCCCACAACTACCAACAGCAGCGTCTAAGTATGGATGCTCATCCCAGAGCGTTATCCATGCGAAAGATGGGGTCTAGAAGATACTGAGTGAGCATTCGCTAACCCACACTTTGATTGAAAGAAGGGCGAGTGTCCTTTGTCCTTTTTTTTCTGGTAATTTTTGAGAGCCTGGGAACGTAATCTAATCATTTCCACTATTATGAATGCATGGCACATGTAATCAAAGAAAAAAATCCATAGCATAAATTATGAGAAAAAAAAATCTGAGTTCTATTATTCTCTTTATGTTTATTTGATTTTTATTCGAATAATATTTTGCCTTTCAATATTTTTAAAGAAATTTGACCAGGCCATTGAGAAGCATTTTGTTGGAATTACCTCGTCAGTTAACATCGAGGCCCTTCGGGAGGGGGTCCGTTGACCGAGCTCATTAGTGTGATGTATTATTATACGTTTTTATTTTATATTTATTAAAGTTAAAGTTTATTAAAATTATAAAATATTCAAAATATACTTTTAGCCCTTTAATTTTATACAAATTTTTAATTTAATTTTTTTTAATTTTGTAAAAAATTTTTTCAATCCTTTAACCCTAATATTTTTAGTTTCAAATGATTATTTTTTATGTCAATAGTAATTATTATTTTAAAAAATTAAACTTACTATATTAATATTTAAAAATATTTTATCAATATTTAAAAGTTTAATATAAAAATTTGTTGAAATAAAACTAATAATATTAAAATTAAAAGATTAAAAAGATACTTTATAAAATTAAAGAATTAAAATAAAACATTGTATAAAATTAAAAGACTGAATATATATTTTAGCTTCTTTTTAATTTAGTCTACATTTAATTTTGAGAATCTTTTGGACTGTATAGAGTATATATAAATAATTAATATATAGCAAAATTTTATATTAAATTATACTTTTAAATTAAGTTTAGATTGAATTTAAAATGTAAAATAATGCTTTAAATTTATATTATTTAAATTAAAAATTTAAATGTTTCAGATCACGTTAATTTATGAGCACCGTTGTTGTGCTCATCACATCAGCTCCTTCGGAAGGTGTGTGCATGAGATCATATGGAAATTTAAAGTCATTTCATTTCAAATATATTGCTAAAATAATTAATTTTAAAATTAGTAGATGCTGGTAATCCTCTTACTTATTACGCCCTCCCATCTATCCGCGGTAAATACAAGACATTTTTCATCGATTAATAAAAGACATTTTATTGGATCAAAAAATTACAATATACATTTTATCAAATTTAATAAAGCATTTGTAATTTATTTTGAAAAACGCGGTTGTCTATTTTTGTCACAATAAACCATATCAATAATTATAAAAGGGTAATTTTAAAAAGTTATAAAAAATTTAACATCTAACTAATTTTTTAATATTATGAAGGCATTTAATAAAGTGTTTATAAAAGAGACTGGATGAAGTAATTTATTAGCGTAGATGTATGTTCAAAACGTCCGAAGTGGCGACATCGTCAGTTCTGCCACAAAGGAACATTTTGTCAACAGGTCTCTGCATGCAAGTACTTGCTGGAAAACGTTGGTTTTCTCCAACGGGGCCTTCATGTATCATTATGTCTTCTGTAAAGTCCGCAGCCATCAGTCTCTTCCACCAGCTGATTTGCATTTCATGAGAGTTTAATTTTATTCAATTGAAAAAGTCACTGCATGAATTTGGATTTTGAATGCATCTATATACGTGATCATGTAGGATACTTTCTTTTTTAATAATCATGAAAAGTAATTATAACTGGGAAATAAAAAAACAACACGTATGCTGGAAGTTTAAAACTTGTTTATTTTGTAGCAATATTTTTAAAGCCAGATTGAATATTACACTAAAAAGGTTAGTAGTTGATGCCTTATGATCCGTATAATTCAATTAGATTGAATTAATAACGTAATAATTAAATTTAAAAAATTATATATATATATATATATATAATATTTTATATATAAAAGAAACATGAAATTACTATTTAATTTAAAAATAAAATTAAATATTTTAAATTTATTATGATTTAATAAATCACATGATACAACATAATATAAAATTATTAAAAAATTAATTATTTTATAAAAAAATTAGAAAAAAAAGTATTTTTTTTAATAATTCAGTTTTTGAGAACAGTATCTAGTTTTCATCTGGATCCTTATTCTCGGTTTAACTATCAATTCAAATCGATCTAATTTGACTCAACTCTTTAAATGATTTTTTTTAGTTTGATTGATTTTTTAATCATTGTTTTTTAGTTAAGATGATAAAAAGTTAAAATTTGTATTCCCTGGAACCGAGGAGAGGATACCATAATTAGTTATCAGGAAAAAAAAAAAAGAGGATCCCATAATTAATTATCATGGAAATGATGAGGCTACGCAAAGAATTAGGACGCCATGCACATCCAGTACGGGGAGCAAATACGAGCAGAGGAGCAGTTAACAAATTCATGGGAAACCCGTGGAACGAGATTGTACAATTAAAACGAGAAGCGGACGTCGGGGATGATGGTGGACCCTCTTCTTCAATTCAAAATTCCACCCTTGAAACATAAATTATTAAATTTCAGAAAAGAACACATGACTGGCCCTCTCTCCTCCCTAGCCTGGAGTCCACAGCCCAAACAAACAAACAAACAAAAAAAAGGGGAGAGAGAGAGCGAAGAGATTCCCCTCGCCTATCCCCATCGCCGTTTCTTTTTCATTTGGTTCATTCACTTTGCTCTCTACACTTTTCCTTTCCTCTCCAACGCAATTCCGACGCCCACTTCACCTTCCCTGTGGATTTTCCCAGATTTGGTTTTCTTTTCCTCCTCTTCCACTTTCTACCCTTACCCTGCATTCCCCTGCTCTCGACATCAGCTCATTCTTACTAGCATTCTGTTCATCCTATTTATTTCCTCCTTTAGCCCATTGCTCTCTCCCTCTGCTTTCACTGCCCGTTAGGTTTTCTTTCTCCTTTTTCGGCGCATTACCTCTAACCTGGCCCTGTTTTCTTTCACAAACTATTCTTTGCTTTTTTTTTTCAAATTCAATTTCTTTCTGGACGGAGATTCAGCTCCTGCTTACTTTGATGGTGTCTTTGTCTTCCTCCTATTGGAGGTTTCAGACCTGGCTTCGCTTTGAAATTAGGGTTAGAGAGTATTTCCATTTCTTCTAGATTTATTGAGTATGTCTCCGGCGAGGACGCCTGAGGGCGATGATGGAGTCTCGTATTCATTCGCTGTTGAATATAATGGACCGCCGGTTTCCTACGATCTTCCCAAGGCTGTGCCCATAAGCGTTGAGAAAATCCCGGTGGCTGCAGTGGTTTCTCAGGTTCCCTTGTCAGATAAACGATCCTTGCCGGTTGTGCAACCTCTCTTGGCACCGGAACCTCCGAGGGGGAGATTCTCCAAGGAGCTCAACCCGCTTGGCGCTGAACCTTCGGTTTCCCCGACTTCGGCGATTGCCCTTGATCCGAGTAAGAAGGATGGTGGCGGTAGCTTCTCGAAAGAACTAGAGTTGGGTTCCGAAAGAACAGTGTCTCCAACTTCGGTGATTGCCTTTGAAGATAGTGTCACGCAGGGTAATGGCTGTGAGTTATCCGGTGAATTGAGTAGCTCGGGAGCATTTGAGTTCTCGAATGGGAATTACGTCTCTGGTGAATTGTTGGACGCGGCCGACAGCTCCAGGTTGCTGGACTCCAACTCGGTTAGTAACGAACACTCCCACGAGCTACTGAGGGATGCTGGAAGCTTGAGCACTGGGGAATTTTCTGACTGTTTTGACAAGTCAGGAAGAAGCTCGAGTGTTTTGAGGACTTCGAATGGGGGGAAAGAGAGTTTTGACTGTAATGATTCAAATCAACAAGATTGGGCTTCCACTGAGTCTGTGTTGAGCTTAGATTATCCATCCTCTGGGGTTTATTCCTTAAAGACTGCGGATTGTGACAATGAACCAGATTGCGATTCTAGACGCCCCCATATTGTTACATTCAATGTCGACTCGGATGATGCTTTGAACGAGGAATACGGAGAAGATAGTGAAACAAGGCCAGTGAAAAAAGAACCTCTAACAAAGGGAAAGAAAGGGTCATGCTATCGATGTTTTAAAGGAAATAGATTCACTGAAAAAGAAGTCTGCCTTGTTTGTGATGCGAAGTATTGTAGCAATTGTGTGTTAAGAGCTATGGGGTCAATGCCTGAAGGTCGTAAATGTGTTACTTGCATCGGATTCCCAATTGACGAATCAAAAAGAGGGAACTTGGGAAAATGTTCTCGGATGATCAAACGGCTGCTTAATGACTTGGAGGTTCGACAGGTACTGAAGGCTGAGAGGTCTTGTGAAGTAAATCAGTTGCCGGCTGAATACATTTATGTGAATGGAAAGTCTCTTTCGCACGAGGAACTGGTTACCCTGCTGAACTGCCCAAACCCTCCGAAGAAGCTTAAGCCGGGAAATTATTGGTATGATAAAGTATCTGGTCTTTGGGGGAAGGTATTGTTTCTTCTGTTAATTTGTTTTCTGCTTGATTCTTTGGTTTATTGCGGATGCTGACTTCTTTGTGTTTTTTGTGAAATTCGCAGGATGGACAGAAGCCTTCCAGAATTATTAGTCCCCATCTGAATGTTGGGGGTCTCATCAAACCGGATGCTAGCAATGGAAACACACAGGTTTTCATTAATGGTCGGGAAATAACAAAAGCAGAGCTTCGAATGTTACAGGTTGAATTTTTTGTGCTTGAAACTGTATTTTTGAAGGGCTTTCTGTAATTGAATTCTAGTTCTGCTGTAATGAAAGAATCTTTCACTTTTTTCCTTTAAATTCTTTTGGCCCCGAGAAAGGATCTTGTGCTGACAATACTTTTTATTATTTATTGTTTTTGTTTGGCAGTTGGCAGGGGTTCAATGTGCTGGCAACCCGCATTTTTGGGTCAATGAAGATGGTTCATACCAAGAAGAGGGGCAGAAGAATACAAGAGGATATATATGGGGAAAGGTAATCTATTTACCTGTTCGCCTCTGATATATTAATTTACGGTACTAGACTTTTAATAATTTTACTTATTAGGCTGGAACGAAGCTTGTATGTGCTCTCCTGTCTCTCCCTGTTCCTTCTAAATCGTCAAATTCTTGTGGAGAACAAATCACCAATCCAGTTAGCAGAACAGTTCCCGATTATCTTGAGCATGGAATAGTTCAGAAGCTCCTGTTAGTTGGTTACAGTGGTTCTGGAACGAGCACTATTTTTAAGCAGGTGAGAATATTATTTCATAGTTCAG